GCCAGTCTTTTTAAAATACAAATTTACGTGTATTAATATCTTGAAGGGATCTTAAGTCTTTTAAAGAAGTAGACTTCATATAATAATAATAATTATTATTATATACAGCTAACATTTATTAAGCACTGAATGTGTATTAAGTACCATGCTAAATACTTTACATGGATTAGCTCATTTGATTATCGTGACAAATTAATGAAGTAAGCACAAAACTGGGACTTGAACACAGTCCTGTTTGACTCAAAGGCCACTTGATGGTATGTTGCATCTTATAATGAGTCGCTTGGCAAACTCAGGTTAAAGAAAGTTTCATTGTACTAAACATTCTCATCTAGTATAATTTACTTTATATCCCAAACCTAAAGTGCAATCCTAATGTATATAATTATATGAAATATGTTTAATCTTTAAATATTTTTCATATGCTTTCTATTAATGCATTTGTCGCCATGCAGTTAATGGATTTTTATTTAGAATTTGCAAACTACTTCTCTAATTTGACGGAGGACTAAATAGCAAACAAGCAGAGATCAGTTTCTATAAGGTCTGGGTTATGAAGTAAATAGAACAGATATAAAAATTGTGAAGCCAAGTGCTAAAGTTCATCAGTCAGAAACAGAATAAAATATATCAGATTAATAAATAAACTAATTAATAAATAAAAGTAATGTTAGATAACATTAGAAAATTTATAACCTGCTCTTAAATTACAAGCTCATGACTTTTGGAAATATAGAATTTTGACTTCCTTGTATTTGTCTTGAGTCGAGTTCTCCAGTCTGTAAAATGTGAATGTATCACATACATGCATGTTTTTTTCAGGACATAAGTAGGATCATTTTTGCTATGCATGAGATAATTTTTCAATAATTGAAAATTAACAATACTAATAAAGTGGTTGGCATGTCATGATGTGTTACCCCAATATATCAGGTTTTCAAACACTTATTTTTCTAAATATATAAGTTTTCTAAATATGTAAGTTCAAGTACTATGCAAAAATGAAATATACCATTGACTATATATGTATTCTATGTGATATATATATTCCATTCTTTATAAAAAAATTCATTAAAAATTGCTTGTGAAGTTTATTTTCTCAAGTTTCTAAGCCTGATATAATTATATAGTCTGCATTTCTCATATATCTATATCATTCAACTATATTAATTTTTAGCATCTCTCTGCCATATGGATGAATCTATAAAAATATAAAAGATTGTATTCCCTCTTCTATGTTTTAATATTCTCTATTAATAGATGGCATTTATTTGCATAGATACATTTTAATTGATTTCTAGCTCAGAAAGTTCTCCACTGTTGTAATTAGCTCTGTTATTTGTAGAACTCTTTCATGTTATCTCAATTTCAGAATGCTTGATTAAAGTATTTAGATTATCTCTGGTGTCAAGTCACATCTTTAAAAATGATCAGTAGGAACCAAAATGGATAACCTAGAGGAGACAGACAAATTTCTGGAAACACACAGTCCACCAAGACTGAACCAAGAAGAAACTGACCACTTGAACAAACTGAT